CATAAACGTGTATAAAGAGAAATACAAATGACTAGATTTCCCATCCAAAGAACTAACAACAAATTCCAGGAATTCCAAGTACCAGTTAACAGAAAGAAGAATTCTCTCTCTCTCTCTCTCTCTTTTTAAAGAGCAAATAAAATTTTTATTAAAGAGTAAGAGAAATAAGAATTAATACTGCACCAAGAGCAATATCTAGCAAAACCTTGTTTTCAAATTTCCAAAGATGAAGAAAAGGAGAAGTGAATATCAAGGAATAGGCAGTTTATGATGTATGGAAAGGTATCAAAATTTTCCACTCTAAAATGCAGAAATACTTGCACCTTAATAGAACTTCTTATTCACAGTTTTATGAAGACCGGACAAAAGATATGACAGAAATTCTTATTCACAACTACAAAAACCATTAACCTGACATTTACAGCTAGACAAAGAAGACACAAGAAATTGATCATCTAAGCACAGACAGGGGCATGAAAGTCTTTCACTGTAACATACACAATCGACTGAGGCGCAACAGTGATTGGAGCAGAAGCATCCACATGCTTTGGTTCCATTTTAGGGATATCCAACGACTCTGTGAGCTTCAATGGAGTACCATTCAGCAGCATCACATCACTCTGGATGTTGCCGTCTTTTGGAGTCAAATGGTACTCTTCCCTTGGCTTGTAACCCTTAAAATCGGCATCGGGAGACTTGACATTCATATACAGGTTTTCATCATTGAAAAGGCTAATGTTGAAAGATTTCCATTTCTCCAAGTTAATGAAAATCAGAGTAATCCCTGGCTTGCGCTTTGCACAATGAGAATATACACGCAGATACGGAGATCCTTGGTGGGTTGTAGAGAGCACAACTCTTCCCATCAAACGATGCCACAGCAGAGCACTACACAAAACCAAGAAAAAACAAATGGTTAATCATAACACAATCCAAAGATTAAAAAAAAACAAAAACCCGAATATGAACAGATTTGACATCTTTTGATAATGACCCATAATAATCAGGTTTTGGTATGAATGTTGGGCTGTCAAGCAGTGCATAGTTTCCCCCAACAAGAGCCTGTCTGCAGAAAACCTTGTGGTTGAAAGTCGATGTCATGCCCAGTTGGTCTAGGTACCTATAAAATGGTCAGAAGTTTAAAATGCCGGTTTAGATACCGTATGGTAATTGACATTGGAAGATAATTGAAATGGATGGTAATTCATACCAAAAGCCATCAGCAAAGGTGCTTGAGACATCTTTGCCACCACTGTTCCAAGATCCACCAGATTCCCCAACCCAAGCTTCTGCCCATGGTCCAAATTCCGTGATGACCCTCTCCAAGTCATTGTAAGTCTGAGCTATTTGACTCAGGTAAAAGGGATCCTGAATCTTGTCGATGAGATGAGAATCATCACCAGGTCCAAGATTGTAGATATGGTGGGTTAAACCATCCACGACGTCAGGGCCCGTGACCTCAAGGAACTTTGTGAACCACTTCTGGTCAAAGAAGCCACCAGGGCCCATAACCTTTGGCTGCTGCTCGGGGTCAGGGTAAATCTCTTGGATAAGTTTCTTCAGTGCTATCATGTCTTTGCCATACTGCTCAACATCTACCCTTGCCGATACTCCAGATCCACAGAGCTCGTTTCCTGACTCAATAAATGTTACACTACGTCAAGATCACGACCAAATTAAAGCATAGAAAACATTAAAACATGATAAACTTAGGTTACCTAATTCATATCCATCGATTTTGAATCCTTTCTGAGCGGTGTAGGCAATGAGATCACGGGCATTCCGTGGGTTCCAATCACCAACCCAAAGACCCTTACTGGTTTTAGACTCTTTCCTCCCATAAAGAGCATTCAATCCGAATGTAAGTACAACACTGTAAATTAATTATAAGAGGAAGTGAGCATGTTCTTTAGGACAATAAGAATGAAGGAAAAGTTTGGAATATATATCCAAGTATTTGCAAAACACAATACCCTGTTCGGTTAAACAAGTTAATAAGTTCGTCCCATCTTTTCATGGTGAGACATCCTCTGCTGAATCCAAACAAACCCTTGTCTGTTCTCTTGAAATGAGGGCACTTCTTGATATTGTTCCCTACTTTGTACACCAACTGGTCTTGTAATGAACCTCCAATTCTAATTCTCAAGGACCCGAATGCTAAAAATTCACAATACCCAATAATTGTTATTATTATTATTATTATTTTTTCACAGAACACGGTAGTACCCAGATAGAAAAAGAGTAATAAAAAAACCTTCATTAGAACTCACCCTTTATAGCATTGGCAAGAATCGTGTTGTTCAAATCCTAAAATGAACAAAATATATATATATATAAAGAAAAAAACCCAAAAGTTACTTCCACCAAACAAATTAAGAATAAATAAAAAATAAATTGCGTTAATTTTAAAATCAGGTGTTAAATATTAACGATCAAGAGTTAGATGTGTTATATAGAAGAGAAAACATAAAGGATGCATGCGAGCTTGAGATTGAGAATGAGAGATTGAATATACAAGGTTGAAGAGGCCAGCTGTTCGCCATACACACTGATTGTAATTGCATTTGTTGCTGGGCCACCAATCCAGAGTTACACAAACGAAGTCATCGTCAGTACTAGCGATGGAGGTTGCCCCTTTGATGTAAATCTTCAAGTCTTCTGCTACTGAAAGTGTTAAAAGGGTTGAAATAATAAGGGTAAAGCAAAGCTTTTTGTTGAAACCCATAATTGAGATGTTGAGAAATCCGCGAGTCGATTAAGTTTTTATAGTTTTAATTTAACGGTTGACTCCCACTCTTCCGTACCTTTTACTATATTTATAAATTTATCTTACTTTTCCGGTTAAGATTTTTTTGAAAATTGAATTTTTGATTTAGATTTTTTAATCTCTTTTCAGTTACAAGATTCCTGGATTTTTGGTTCGATCTTACCCAATATTTTAATCATCAAATCAATACTAGTACTTAATAAATTTTCCGCCATTAAGACTCAAAATGCATTAAGTTTAAAAATTAAGAACAATTAAAATTTTATTAATGTTTAAATAATTTTTTGAGTAAGTGTTTATCCGTTTACCTCTTAAAGTTTAATAGAAAAATTATCATAAAATTAGATCGTTTTAATAAAGTATTATAGGAAATGATAAAAAAAATATTTTAATTTATAATTTAAAAATAAAGTATTTTATTTTATTTTTTTTCAATGAGAGTTTATTGAAACAATATAATTTTGAAATAATTTTCTTTTTAATTTTTAGAGATAAAGCGGATAGGCACTATTCTTTAATTTTTTACTTATTAATTATTTTAATCTTTTTTAAAAAAAATTTAATTTCAATCTTATTTGGATATTTCAACATTTTCTTCTTTAAATCAGAATTGTGATTATCTATTTATTTTTTGTTGTTAGCCAAAACTAAAAATTAAATAAATTAAAATTAAAATTGTTACCTACAAGAGAAGCAAAATTAAAAATTTTTGCTTAAATCTAATTTGAATCATACATAAAAATTCCTTTTATATTAAATCCTTTATTTGAAATTTAAATTTTGCCATATCAAAATTTTAATTTAAATTCATAATGAATCTCATTGCATTATCTTTTTAAAATTTAAATTAATAAATCAATAAAACTTATTCATCAATACTACTTTTTTTTTTTTGGCGGAAGACTGAAATTTTAGTAGTATCTTAATATCTTTTCTATATATCAGCAAATTTTAATCTTTTCCTTTTTAAATTTAATTTTAAAGTTTGATTTTATTTTGAGATTTTAATATTTTCTTCTTTAAATTGTAATGGTGATTATTCATTTACTTTTCATTGTTAATCAAAAGTCAAAAACTATGAACCCGTTTGGTATAATAGTTTGGGGGACAGTGATTAGTAATTTAACCTAAATTACTAAAAATGAGTGTCAGGTAAATTTATTTATTTTGAACTGTTATAAATTAAATGTTTAGTAAAATTTTTTATTTAACAGTTAGAGATTAGTGGATAACCGTTAGGATCTAAACTACTAACGGATTTTTTTAATTTTATTGACAAATTTATTCTTTTTAATTTTTTAATTTTTTACATAGTTTTAATTTGCATTTATCTAATTAATTTCAATTTTGTTTGTTCGTCTTTAATAACATTAAGTGATTATTATATTTTTATTTTTATATTAGTTTACCATTAAAAAATATATTAGTTTAATAAACAAAATTTGCTAACTAAATGAAAAGATTAAATTTTTTTTTGTAATTTATTTATAACTAATATAATTTTTTCTTTATTAAAAATAGAAATTAATATGTGATTACACTATTATAAATTTTTTGATTTATTTTTTTATTATTTTATAAAATTAATACTTTAAAGAATAAAAAATATAAAGAAATACACTTAATTGTTTTTAAATTTATCTTTGTTAGTCATTTAACTTTGAATAATAACCACTAATTATTGTATAACTAAATAGTTATATTAATTAAATTTACTATCTATTATCTACTATCTACTATCTATTACTTATTTTTTGCCACTCATCATTCATTACCATTACTTGCTGTCCATTACCCGTTATCTATTATCCACTAAATTTTAATTGTTATATCAAATATGCCCTAAGTGAATTTAAATTAAAATAATTACTTTATCCATAAGATAAACAAAATTAAAAAATCTTACTTTAATCTAATTTGAATCTTATATAACAAAAATTCTTTTGGATTAAGCCACTTATTTGGAATTATAACTTCACCTTATTAAATTTTTAATTTAAATTCATAATTAATCTCATAGTATTATCCTTCTAAATTTCAACATTATGCAAATCTTTTCTAAAGTTAAAGTGACGTTTCCGTAATTTTTATCCTAAAGAAGAAAGCTCCAATTACTTAATCCTTCCAAGAACAAAAGATAAACAAAATTAATGAGTATAAATTTAGAGTACAATCTCCGCAGGACAAGAACCATTAGTTTCCATTGAATTCAATATCTAAATATCTAAATTTCAAAATATGAACTATAGATTTTTTTTGCATTCTTGAAAAATAAAAAAAATCAAAACAAATTTAAGTTTTAACTATTGCAAATTTTGCAATACTCCCTCTCTCACAAATAATGGTTATTTTTTTTTAATTTTTTCAAATTAAAAATTTAGAGATAATTTATATATTTATTAATATTTATTTTTAAAAAAATAAAAGACAAATAGAGTTTTTTTTTTTTGTGATAACTTAAATAATTAAAGTAACTAAATAATGATATGAAAAAATAAAAAAAATTATTTCTCTAATTTAAATTACTTTAAAAGTAATTTGTAACAAATTCAAAGTAAAAAATTACCTCGAGTAATAATTAATAACTTCACCGGAGTCATAGAACTCAAGTTTCTAGCCTCCAGTTTACCAGTATTATGTCGAATTTCGAGTACACATGAATCACTAATAAAGATTTGCAAAAAAATGGTCAAAATTTTTAACTTGAATTAATAGTTAATTGGAAAAAAAATTACAAATTGGGTTGTTTATTTAAAATTTTTTAATTTAAATTAATGTTTAATGTCAACCAAAATTATTAAAAATTAAATAATAAATATTTTAAAATTACGTTACGTGTTTTAATTAAGAAAATCAGTCCGTCACCCCACATTGCTTTTCCAAAGGGAATTTTTTTTTTTTACAAAAATAATGATTAATAAATTAATTTTATTAATTATTAGTAAATAAAAATTTAATCTTCAAATTTGATGAATATCTCACTGCTCTCTCAATGAACTGTGCGGCGATCGAGTGGCTTGGTGTAGTTATTCCAAAGGGAATCTAGAAGATCTAAGATAGTAGCAAGAGTGAGATGAAAAGATCAATAATTAAGACAAATGCTAAAAGGTATAAAAATGTTATACTTTAATTAAAAAAGTCAGCCTCGCACCCCGCATTGCATTTCCAACTAGGGGAATCTAGGGGATCTAAGATAGAGTGAGATGTAAAGAATTTTTTTTTTTTTGAATGATTGCAATTATTTATCGGGAAAATACGAAAAATGATTTCGTAAAATTCAAGTATACAATTTATAAGAAGTGAATTATTTTAATTCAAGATCTAATATTACTGATCAAGCAAATTGTTCAAGATATAAAGGTTTATAATTAAAACAAATGCTAAAAGGTATAAAAATATTATTATTATAATATTATGTGAATTAAAAAATTTATCAACGGTAAAAATATAGATAAATTATATATTTATACAAAATCAGCTAAATTAAAATAACTAACAAATTATTCAAACATTTAAAATGTAAATTTTAAAATCATAAAAAACAAAAAAATCAATGCGAACGGCATATCAAAAGATTCAAAAAGCAAATTAGTCAAACCAAAAGGCTTATCTTATTCCTAAAACCTAATAAAATGGAGCAAAGCACTTAATTGTTTCCATTGCTTCAATTCGTTCAAAATTGCTCTCCCCCCACGGAATCAAGGAGATCTAAGATAGAGGCAAGGGTGAGATGCAAAGACCAATAATTAAGACAAACACTAAACAAATATAAAAATGTTTAATATTATAATGTTACGTGGATTAAAAGATTCATTGACAATAGAAATGGACCTTTGGATCCAAGTGATTCATCTCAAAATTTTAAGACATTTGAATTAGTTGATCGAGATTTTGAATAAAACATTTGAATTAGTTGATCGAGATTTTGAGTTTTATCAATGCCTTGAAAAATCTTCCTCTCCCAATCTCCCAAAATTTTAAACTGTTCAAAAAATAAAAAAATTCATTGACAATGAACACATAAATTAAGGACATTTTTACAAAGTTAGGTGAAATTAAAATAACTAAAAAATTATCCAAACATCTAAAATGTAAATTTTAAACTCAAAAAAAAAAAAAAATCAATGCGAACAGCAAATCTAAAGATTCAAAAAGCAAAATATTAAAATTAAAAAAGGTTATCTTATTCCTAAAACCTAATAAATTGGTGCAAAGCCACTTAATTATTTCAATTTCTTCAGCTGGTTCAAAATCGATCTCTCACCCCACGTTGCTTTTCAAACTAACGGAATGAAGGAGAAAAAACATTTTTTTTTTTTTGAGAGTTTGATTATACTATTTTTTTAAAATTTTAATCATGCAAAAATAAAAGTAAAATAAAATAAATTTAAAACACAATTTTAGAGTTAGGGTGAATAAATGTTGAGAATATAAGAATTGGAAAAAATCCTTCTTTTTTTTAAAATTAATTCTTTCAATATCATTTTGGATTGGATGATCATGAAGTAAATTACAAATCAAACCAATTTAATAGGTTTTTAATTTTTTTCATCTAAATTAATCCAATTAAGTAATGGTTGTAATCGGTTTTTAATTAGATTAGTTTATATTCAATCAGATTAATTGGATTGAGGTGAATATGAACAACTCTAGTAATAATTACTTTTTCATTAAACTATAAAGGGCATGATTGGAATAATGGTTAAAATTTAATGGATAACATTGGATAGCAAGTAGTGTATAGCAGGTAGTATGTAGCATGTAGCAGATAGTGGTAATGAGTAGCAAATAATAGATAACAGATAGCAAATAATGGGTAGTAGATAGTAGATTTTGATTAATATAATTATTTACTTATACAATAGTTAACGATTATTGTTTAATGTTTGTTGGGGGTGTGCTAGTGATGTGGGTTGATTAGTCAACAATAGTGATGATATGGAGGCTAACAAGGATGACACTCGAGAAAATGAGGAAGGTCTTTTTGGCGGCACCTGTTTTACGTGCGTGAGGCTACGTGCAAGAGG